CATTACATGTCAGCACCTAGTCTGAGTTGGGACGCTTTCCTGAAAAAGTCGGGTGAAGAAATAGAACTTGTAAGTGATATGGATATGTTTCAGTTCTTCGAGAAGGGTATGAGAGGTGGTACAAGTTATATTGCTCATAGACACTCCACAACTAATAATAAGTACATGGAGACGTACGATGAGTCGTCTGAGAACAAGTACCTGATGTACCTCGATGCAAATAATTTATATGGCTGGGCAATGTCACAACCACTACCTAACGGAGAGTTTGAGTGGGTTGAGGAATTTGACGGTATGAATCTGGATGATTACTTGGGAGACAACGAAAGAGGGATGGTTTTGGAGGTTGACCTGGAATATCCACAAGAACTTCACGATCTACATAACGGTTATCCTCTAGCACCGGAGAGTAAGGAAATCAGTGCTTCTATGTTGTCAGATTATGCGAAGAGTATTGCTGAGAAATTCCAACTGACAATTGGAGGAGTAAGAAAACTAGTGACTTCACTTGGTCCCAGGAAAAATTACGTCTTACATGTACGTAATCTGAAACTGTACACAGACCTCAGAATGAAACTCACAAAGGTCCATAGAGCGGTTACGTTCAAGCAGTCTCCCTGGCTTAAGGACTATATAGACTTCAATACGAAGAAAAGGTCTGCAGCCCGTAATAAGTTCGAAAAGAACTTCTTCAAGTTGATGAACAACTCGATCTACGGAAAGACTATGGAGAATCTTAGGAAAAGGGTTGATGTGAAATTAGTGTCCTCCAAAGACGACTTCCTGAAACTGACAGCGTCACCTTGCTTCCAGTCACATCGAATCATGAATGAGAATCTTATAGTGGTAAAGAGGATGAAAGAAGTTCTAACGCTGAATAAGCCGTGTTACGTAGGAATGAGCATCTTAGACTTATCCAAGACTTTAATGTACGATTTCCACTACAACACCATCAAGAAGGAGTACGGTAATAGTTCAAGGTTACTGTTCACCGATACTGACAGTCTGATGTATGAACTGAAGACAGATGATGTCTATGAGGACTTCAAGAGGATCGGTGAGGAGCAGGATTGCTGGGATAATTCAGATTACCCAAAAGATTCTCCATACTACTCAACCCACAACAAGAAGGTTATAGGTAAGTTTAAAGATGAAGCTGAAGGAGTACCTATAATCGAGTTTGTTGGGTTAAGATAAAAAATGTACTCCTATGTGAAGGAAAACGGTGGAGGTGGAATGACTGCTAAAAGAGTTAAAAAGTATGTCATCAGAAACAAGCTCACTCATGAGAACTTTAAGAATGTAATTAATACGAAAGGTAGGATGAGACATAATATGAATACAATCAGAAGCGTAAAGCATGCAATTGGAACTTACGAATTGAAGAAGGTTACTCTAAGTTGCTTCGATGATAAAAGGTATCTTTTGGAGGATGGAGTTACCAGTTATGCTTATGGTAACAAGAATATAAAAAATAGTGACTGAGAAGTTCCCACAGAGTAGAAAATAATAATCCTAAAGGGTAAATAAGCAGGTAGGGCCCCCTGCCTTGTGTACCCCCAAGGAGGAAATAAAAGTTGTCGAAAAGGCTCTGGAATAGGAAGGTTGGACGATATTGGGAAAGTGTAGGATAATCGTATTAGAGTCTCAGCTGGACCCCGAAGCTTTGAGATAAGCTAAATGAAAAACAAGAATAGCAGTTTCACATTCTAATTAAATGGACCCCCTTCTCATGGAACTGCTGAAGTGTAGCGGGACCATTTAATTTTAATATAATAAAAAAATAAATTATTAATTTTCACCGAAGAAAAAAACTAGTGGTCTCGCTCAAAAGCTAGTGGTCTCGCTACGCTAGTTGCTATACTACTCAAGGTGGTATGTGTGAGGTTAGTAAATGCTTAATTGATATGTGTGAGGTTAGTAAATGAACTGCAATGGTGGTATGCATATATATCTAGGATATACCGTGTTCTTTAGTTTTGATGCGACGAACATATGATATATATATATTTTTACCTTTGTCCCTGTCCAAGTTATAACCATTTATCTTCAAGATATGTTGCTGAAAATAAGTTCAATTTGCTAAATCGTTAACGTTTAACAACAATGTAATGGACCTTTAACCTTATAACTAACATTTTGATCAAGACAAAAATTTCATCACAGCTTGAAAGAGCATCACAAAATTAGTAATATTCCAAAGTTTCGTTACGAAATGTTGTAAAATGCGGATAATATAGCACTGCGAAGTTTGCAATTTTCAGTCATTTTAGATTACAAACGGGAAATTGATACCCAAATCGGGTGTTGGTGCATCAATTTCCCTTTTGTAATCTAAAATGACTGAAAATTGCAAACTTCGCAAGGCTATATTATCCGCATTGTACAACGTATCGCAGCGAAACTTCGGAATATTACTAATTTTGTGATGCTCTTTCAAGGTGTGATGAAATTTTTGTCTAGACTTGTCTAGATCAAAATTTTAGTTATAAGGCTAAAGGTCCATTAACTTGACTTACATATCACAATATAAAAGAAATATTCTGTAACTTACCAAACTAACCCTGTTTACTTGTGCAATCACTACCAAGTGCATGTCTTTCTCTCACTGAATTCTAAAGCGCACTAAGACATCGCATTCCTTTCTCAGCGGATTCATGATAATTGAAAAACATGTCTATGTTTCTAATTTAACCATGGAAAACCAGAAGGCTCTTTGGTCTGTTAGGAGAGTGAAACTTGCAAAAACACTGTCGATTGCTTTTTTACAAGCATAAAATTATTCGAAATGTCATCGCACAGTGCTTATTTTGAGAATGAGAGTCCATGTCATGTTTCTACGAAAGTATAATCGGATTGTCCCTATAATTTGAAAATTTGAATGGTTGTAATTTTTTAGTAGAAAGCTTGTCTTCGAAAACATGCTTGTCTGTATGCAACCGGATTAACGATTTCTATTGTTTAAAACTAACATTTGATGCGAATCACTCTTTCCGCGAAAGAAACTTGTACTTATTTGCAAGCGTATTCATACTCAAAACGAAACCCATGAACGCAGTTGATCACTAATTGTCGTGGCGTTCTCTCGCGTTAATTAATAGCGCACTATTGGGGAGGATACATTCCTTGTAATTGTTGAATGGCTGCCTTGTCATCGAAGCAGGAAGTTCGAATTTTCTAGAAAATCACATCGTACTCAACTTCGCCTTGTAATTCAGACGGTGAAACATCGTTCTTGAAATGCAAAGACGCGTGTTCGATTCCCAGATTAGATTATAAAGATTAGATGATAAGATTATATTAGATTAGGTTTATTCACTCATCTACATGTCATAGTTGCAAAAAATAAAGAAAATAGAAAAATAGTTAACCAGATTTCTGAATAATAACTATTTACCGATTAAAATTTATATGCATGCACTTACCGAGCGTATCTGCATTAGCAAATATTTTCCTAACGTTGTTCCTAAAACGTTATCGACTAAATTGAAATTTTTCAGGGCTTCGAAAAACAAAGACTGAATCGCTTCGTCGAAGAAATTAGCCTGCTATTTTCCAACTATTTCAGTTAGAAAATGTAAATGTTCAAGTAAAAATGGGCATAATTATTTACATTGCATGCATGAAAGAGGTGTTTTATCTCTGCAGTGAAATGCGCGCTAAGAGACCGCATTCCTTTATCAGCTGATGCTTTAAACAATATTTCATCAGATATACTGCTTAATTTACCATGGAAAATCTAACGATTTTTGGACGGTAAGGAGAAATTGTGTAACTTTCACAAACGTCTCTGCTGTTCACACGTCCTTCTTACCCTGTGCAGAAAATCACCCAACTATACAGTTCACTAGTCAACAACATGCTGGCAGCTGCTTAAATAAAACATTGAAAGAGTATGCTGGGAGAAATAAGTCAAAGATATTTTTTATTAGCAGCATTCCCACTTTTTAATCCAAACTTGAATTTGCACAATCATAATTTCCTCGCTTTCGTTCATAATATGATGAAGATGAAAGAATATTTTATATTTCCGAGATAGCGAAGAATTTCGCTATTATTAACTTTGACATGTTTCAACACGCGTAATTATGTGGTGAAGTTTTTAATTTTCTGACATTTTCGCGGTATTTGACATGTACACTATAAATTTCTGGAAAGTATTTTTCGGAACCGACGTTTATGCATTGCGATTTTTTGTTAAATACTTCTAATCTTTAATCGTTGAAAGTATTTGGGTTGTTGTAAATTGTACGCTAATCGTCAATTTGCAATGCACGCACGCATACTCAGCGATGATTGACTAGAAGCTAGCAAACAGCACTCACGAAATAACATAGTTACCCAACCTGTGGCAAAATACTAAACGCATAGCGTGGCAGCAGCTTCTCGCGTATGTCCATTCAATCCTTCCTTACCCTACAGTTTACCGCGTGTATCCTATTTATTCCTGTCATATCTTATTTTATAACGAAACACGAGGAGCAAACATGGCGACGAAACGAGCTCGAAAAATTCATGATTATAATCAATTGAATTCTCTGTCCTTGGTTGTTTTGTGGGACTCGGCTCCACGGCTGAAAAAAGCGAAGACTTTCTATGAAGTTGAAAGAGTGATAACAAGGCGAAGAATACACTTAGTAAGTGTATATCTTTTGACATATTTTCAAATTTCAATGTTTTCTAGCAGACCAGCACATGTTTATGTATAAAACAAAATTCATACCAATATGGCAATATAATATATACCTATTAGCCTATATAAGGATGAAAAGTTTAGCCAAAAAACCTTTGGAGTTTGTCTATTGATTGTTTGCTTTTCAGAAATGAATTTTGTAGCTGATGAATGCTATACGTAATCCACTTGTAAATATCAAAATATGTTTACACAGGAATATTGGTAATAATAAATAACTGATATACTTTTGCAATATTTTAGGACTATGAATACCTTATAAAGTTGAAGGGATGGTCACTTGAATCATGCTCTTGGGAACCATCGACAAATCTCACTAAAGACCTCATCATGTAAGTGTTAAAATAGTTCAATTTTTTTCTTCTAACCCAGGGTAGTACAATTTCAGCCCTCCTCTATCTAAGGTGAAATTGCAGCTGTTGGTTGAAGTCACTTTTTGCAGGTACCTAGTCCAATAACCCGACTCCTCGCAATAACTGAGAATTTTGCCATGTAATCATTTCAACCCACAGTGACCGGTCAAAACATCCCCATATCAAAATGTGCCTGTCTTCTGCAAACTTTCATTAAGCCTTTACAATGTGGATTGTCATGAATGTATAAATCGTTAACAAGTTAATTTCTCTAGTCTTGAGCAATTACCATAAACCAATTAAAATATCTGATGAAAGACTAGAAGGAGCCTGTCGTCAATTTGTGTTGGGGATAAGCAAAGGTTTGCGAAGTCGTTCCGCAGCTCCTATGTATATTAACATGGATTTGGATATATGGCGATATCTAACATGTGGAAAAAGGGAAGTATCTGAGCACCGTGGTAACAACCTGTACCAGAAAAATGATTTTGAGGCATTTAAGTACCTTCCAGAGAACTGGTGATACCATATAAATCAAAATGGAGAAGGAATAGCAGTTGATCTTCCTCTGAAAGCTAAGCCAATGTTGTCCTGGTCATCTGTCAACTTCATAAAGAAAAACGGCAAGTTATGCAGAGCTGCTAAGATGCCAGTGGAGAATATATGCCTAGCTGTTATAAGAAAGGCATGCAATGCCGAACATGTTGTTTGAACAATAGAACAAACTGAACTTTGTCAAGAATATTTGACTGGTATAATTATTTTAGGGAAATGGATATTTTTTTGAAAATAGAAAATTCCTATATTTCATATGAGTATACCGGCACTGAATTCAAGGCTGATTTGGGGGGGGGGGGCTGCCAGTGTAGTTAGCTATGTGAAAAGTAGTTGCAAGGAGTCAGTTATTCAACTACCTTAAAATACAAAACAATTTTTTTAACATTTCAAGTGAAGGCCCTTGGTACCAACTTCAATCGAAATGTCTTCGATTTAAATGTCCAATAATTTGTTCTCTAATTTTCAGCAGTTGAATAACCGAATCCTGACAACTTCAATGAATAATCATATTTGCACAGTGTACAGATAATATATAGTTATTTTATTAGTTTGTTTTAAATATTTAAAGTATGTATTTGCTAATTAAGTAGAGTAGGTTAACATTATTTAGAATATATATTATTTATTATTTACATGAGTATTCACATTACATAATGCAGTAAATGCGCTACGGCAAAATCTATTAACTGTGTTGCATCTAATCGCTTAAGACCTAAAGCATTGCATTTTCCTTATCTTCCAGTGTATTAATGAGGAGTTCTTTTAGCTTCTTCTTACACCTATACCGGGTTTTGACTCCCAAGTTTTTAAGCCTTAGCTTAATTTCGTCAAATGTCAAATTGCTGAGCATCTCAAAGCCTAAGTGTCCAACTTCAGCTGGCTGCATGCAAACCTGTGGCGCTTAGCTCGAGACTCTTTGATGCCTTCTTCCCAGTAATCCAGGTACTGCTTCTTGTATTCCCTGACTCCCCTCTCACAGTCTTCCAGATGCTACATTCTCTTCCCAACCAGCAGAACATCTTTTGCAGCATCCCATTTATTTGATCGATGCAGATGCACTCTTCTGCACACATCATTTAGTTTTTCATCACCTAACAAAAAAGGAAAGATGCCACTGAGTTTACTGTAAATCATAGTAATTGAAAGAAATGTACTGTCTTGGTTGATGAGAATATTGGTTGATGAGCAACACAAAGCATACAGCAGAAGAAAATTAAGTGTTCGATTAGAAAAAAAAACGGATTTAAATAATTTAGACTGTGAGGGCATAAAAGGGGCAAACTGTAAAAATGAGATGCTGTTTTTAAAGAAAGGCATATATGACTACCCACCTTGTCCAGTGAATTTTCGAACGCCTTTGCATTTCTCCATGAATCTTGGCACATGGTAGACCATAGCATGCATGTAAGGTGTCACCGTTCCCGACTCGCATCCCATGGCTTTACCACTGAGTGTTAGAAACAGCCTTATCCAGGAAGTAGCCTAAATGGAAGACATTAGTGTAGAAAATTGCAATATGCTGCAAGGCGATACTGATTACTTACAAGATGCTGCAGCCTGGGTCTGTGCTAAACATGAGGAAATTAATTATGCATTAACCCATAGAGTCGCATTGCACACTGATGCACCCTACTTTAGTAATTCACTCTGTCTAACGCCAGACGATTTTACTCGTCATGGGGAGAGCACTGGCACTTAATGGGTTAATTGCACAAATGTACAAATAGGATATTTACCTTCTGAAAGAATTTGGTAATATCGCCACTGCTTGGGTTATCTGTTCCTAAGAGGACGTATAGTTCTGTAAACTCCTAAGAGAAAAAAACAGTTGGTGTACTTAGTTGCAGTGTGGATATTAGCTTTATAATATATACAAACCTTCCAGATCTTCGCAACAGTCTCACTAATTTCTGGTCTTGTAACAGCTCCAAGCTTGTTTGGCAATTTGTTTAGAAGGAGTTTTTTGCTTGATCCCATCAAACTAGTGAAATCGGAAATTCCACTGCCTCTTCCATCAGCATCCATCTTTTCCCAAATGTTGAAAGTAACTCCACACCTATTGATTGCACCTACAAGATCATCCACATGCTTGGCTGTTCTTTGATTCGGTGGTTTGTTCAGGTTGTCTTTCCTGTCCCACTCAATGGCATCTCTTACCAGGTTGTCTGTTAATTTATCTGTAAATAATGTGTCATTATTAAAAATTAAATAAACAATTTCATTTCACTAACATGATTGTAAACCTTTTGAAAATCAATTGAAATACTAAGATAATTAATTTGAAATCCTTGAGTATTATTGGTTATCGATCTACCCAACTGCCCAAGATAGGTAAATCCTCTAATAATGTAAGGCAGAATAAAACAATACAGAAGCCAGGGTACATTGCATCTAGTACCTTACCATTGCTTTCTACAGGGTTTTCAGTTTAGGCCTGCGAACAGTGAATTTCGCCAGACTTTTTCATTCAACCCGACCAAAATTTGCCAAAGATTTTACATCAATATATAATTCATGTGCACGAATGATTGTGAAACTTAACTGAGGTGCAGTCTACATAGTCTAGGCTTTTCCCTTTCGCCATAGACAATTAATATAAAATACAGTAGCAGCTGTAGACTAGATAATTGTAGGAGTGACAACTCTGTTCAGTGCTTTAAATTAATTAAATACCTGTGAAATAATGAAAACAAGATAGGTTTAACTTACCAGTAATTCGAAGCATTAATTAAATAGAGTTCATCTAAGACCACATTTTCTAATGCGATGTTAAATTAGTGGTCTGTGCTCACATGAGAATTTGCAGCTCTTGGCCTGTTCCCGCATTTCTTCGAACGTTCTGGCCAACTTAGCTTGCCAGTAATAGTCAATTGGCTTTGACATGTCATACCTAAATGTAAAACAAGATCAGGATGCAACACAATGCTAAGAATAAAATTTTCATGTTTCTGTGTTTCTCTTCATTCATCGGGCATAATACAGACTGAGCTAGGTGGGTCACATTTAGGTGCATTGCCATTCAGTCAATTAAAGTTCAACACTTTCTTCTCGATGAGGATTGTAAATTAAAGGGTTAACATTCTAAATTTACAGAAGGGTGCCAGACACCACCAGTGTAGATAGTGACACAAGAAGTGTCAGTTATTCAACAACCTGAAAAATAGAAAACAAATTAATTGGCATTTCGAGCAAAGGCTCTTTGTTAAGAAGTGAGCGACTAACTTCTTAACAAAGGGCTAATTGCTTGAAATGTCGAAGAATTTGTTTTCTCTTTCTCAAGTAGTTGAATAACCAATCATCAAACTAACACTCTAAATACCAACTTGAAAATCTTACACCAAATACAAGCATGATCACTTGTTGCTGACTTCATACCCAGTATGAGTAGGAGAAACTAAACATTAGGAAAACAAAAAGGACATGAAACTGTTTCATTAGTTAAATATTGACGTTACAAGGCTTGATGCCTTCGAGGAATGCTGGTCTTAATAGTCATCGCCAGGGAAGGTTCCGATAGTGGCCATGTTGAATTGTTTAATTTTCCCGATTGATGACTACTAAGATCAACATTCCTTGCTGGTATCAAGTGTTGTGACGTCATTATGCGTAAGGTCTAATTTGATTACTACATTCAGAGTTGTGCTAATCAATCATGATATTATTGAACCAGGCTCCGCTGTAAATGCCCTACTAACTGACAACGTAAATATCAGCAACCAAGATACACTGAAGCGAAAATACAAGTAAAAAAAATCGAATAAGAAATCTAAGACGTCTGAGAAGCAAAGCAAAGACGAACAACGGTGTATAACTGATTCACCTACTAAAACCACTCAAACCTCTCAACCGATTAACGAGGTGAGTAATGTAAAAAAAAATACAACTAGTTCTCCTAAAAGCATCCAATCTCCAAGAAAAAAAGTCACGGTAGTTGCTGGAGATTCTATATTGAAGCATGTAGAAGGATGGCGTCTATCGAACGCGAGTAACCATGTGGTAGTCAAGAGTTTCTCAGGAGCTACAACTTCTGATATGGAAGACTTTTTAAGACCAGTGCTCCGAAAGGAGCCGAACAAAATAATTTTACATATAGGTACGAACGATATAAACTATCAAACTGCCCAAACGGTAGCAGAGGGAGTATTAAATCTAGGCATACAAATTACTCAAGACTCGCCTACAACAGATATAGTGATCTCTGGGATACTTCCAAGAACTGATAAACCAAATTTGATGTCCAAGGTGAATCAGGCAAACAGATTAATAAAAGCATTTTGTATTGAAAAGAACTGGGCATTCCTAGATCATGAGTCTTTCAACTCAACTTGCTTGAACTCTCGAGGACTACATTTAAATCGAAAAGGAACTAGTATATTAGCCAGAAATATATCTAAGTATATTAGTACTGATTAGGATATTGCCATTTGTGAGTCTGCTTCCATTTCACCTACCCATCCTGCAGCCTTTGACAAATCGCCTTACTCAAAATTATTCAAGCGGGGCCTTGTGATGGCATCACTGAACATTAATAGTCTAACTGCTCACATTGATGAAGTGAGAATTTTTACACATCATACAAATATTGATATATTAGCCATTAATGAAACCAAACTAGATGCCTCTGTCCACAGCAATGAAGTAAATTTACCAGGATACGAGATAATTCGAAAAGATCGCAATATCAATGGTAGACATGGTGGTGGGGTATGTATTTATGTACGTAGTAATTTAAATTTTAAAGTTCGCAATGATTTCATGAACGACAAGCTAGAGTGTCTAATTATTGAGATATCCAAGCCTCGATCTAGGCCGTTTTTGGTAGGTACTTGGTATAGACCACCCAATTCTCCTAGAGAATTATTAAATCTATTTGAAAACACAATCGATCGAATCGATGCTGAATACTCTGAATTATACTTTCTTGGAGACCTAAATTGTAATTTAACTGCTCAAATCTCTGATGCAAACACTTCTGATTTGTTAAATATCCTAAACACTTATGGTTTGACACAATTAATCTCTGAACCAACTAGAATAACACCAGTTTCACAAACCTTAATTGACCTATGCATTACTAATGTGACCTCTTCCGGTGTCCTCTCGCTGGGTATAAGTGACCATTCACTTGTCTATATGATTCGCAAATCTGGTTACCCAAAGACAACGGGAAGGACCATTAAAAGGAGAGATTTTAAACACTTTAATGAGACAAACTTCCTTGATGGTCTTTCCCAGCTAAATTGGGATGTTATTCAAAATTATGATGATCCAAACGACATGTGGAGAGTTTGGGTTGACATGTTGATGAACGTAGTGAATAAACATGACCCAATAAGGAAGATTAGAATTGGTAAAAAAAGATCCCCTTGGATCACTCCTAATATACTACAACAAATGCGTTCAAGAGATTATTTTAAAAAGAAGTTTGAAACCACTAAAGACATTTCTACTTGGAATTTATATAAGAAAGCTAGGAACGAAGTGAACAGCAATCTGAAACAATTGAAACGTGACTATTTCAGTACCAATCTTGACTTAGCAAAAAATGACCCGAAGAAAACCTGGAATCTTATAAACCAACTTAGTTCTCGTAATGTTAGCAAACGCTCTACTGTTAATAGAGTTGACTTTAATGGTGCAGAAGTAACCGATACGCATGAAATAGCTGAGGCATTTAACACACATTTTACCGAGATAGGTGAAAACCTGGCTAAAAGTATTCCTATAATTGATGTCAACCCAATATCTTATATTAACTCTACAAATAGTGTGTTTTCCTTCAAGACAATTGAGATAAACTATGTTAAAGATTTGCTTGGAAGGATAAACACAAAAAAATCTAGTGGTCCCGACAACATTCCATGCAAATTACTAAAGTTAGCTAGGGATGTTGTATCCCTTCCCTGACGCATATGTTTAACAAATTACTTTGCACTAGCATATACCCAAAAGAATGGAAAATCGCCAATGTCACACCTATCCATAAAGATGGTGCCAAACACGACCTCAACAATTATCGTCCAATCTCAATTATTTCAGCCGTTGCAAAATTATTTGAAAGTATTATTCACGACCAATTTGATTACTATTTAACGTGCAATAAATTACTGAATAAATGTCAGTCTGGATTCCGAACAATGCACAGTACGGTCACTGCACTGCTCGAAAAAAACGAATAGGTGGTCGATAAATATCGACAATGGACTACTCAATGGTGTAGTTTTTATCGACTTAAAAAAAGCTTTCGATACTATTGATCACGCAATTCTTCTGGATAAACTTGCTCAATACGGGGTTGATGAAAACGCATTAACATGGTTCCACTCTTATCTAACCGATCATACACAAAGATGTTGTGTAAATGGACATCTATCTAGTAATCGACCAATCACTTACGGTGTCCCCCAAGGTTCAATAATAGGTCCCCTTTTATTCTTGGTCTATATCAATGACTTGCCAAACTGCCTGAACAATGGCTTATCGAGTATGTACGCGGATGACACAAATGTTAGCTTTCAAAGCTCTAATCACGCTTGGCATAAAATGTTGCGAAATCGGCCAAACTGCCGATTATGAAGTTCAGCGGTCTTGCCCATGAGCATAGAAAAAATTCAAGATGGCGGCGATTAGGAATGAATTGCAAAATCTGTTAGGGCGAATTTTTCATCTTGTGAACTAGAAAACTGTTGTGGATTACTGCGGAAACAATCGATGGGGACTGGTCAATGTGCGAAACAAACCTTCAATGAGAAAATCACGTTCGAATTAACAGATTGGCAAAGGCAAACTGGTCAATTTCTTTCTGTTGACATGTTAAAATACTTCTTGTATAAGATTTAATTAAGTGATATCGAATGGATTTTGCTCAGGCGACGTAAAATAAAGATAACAGCTAAAACGAAAGTTTACATAGACCTACCAGGAGGCTTGTCTAATCTCTTAATTTACAAGCTATTTCGCAGTCTACTAGTGTTGGCTTAATCAATATACAAGGATGGATAATTTGTAAGCAACTATATTGAATTTTTGAAAGTTTTCACACATTGAAAGGAATTACATTATCATGTCTGTGCTAACAGTTGAAACAGTTATAAATATTTTTGAATTATGTACTGTACATGTTAATAAAGATAACTTGAAGTATTCTATATTCACTAGCATGTCATATTTCTAACTTTCTGGTCTTTATTTAGCATACAGTATCTCACACACACTACCAGTAATATGGCTGGCATACTAAGTAACTAAGGAGTAAGGTGATAAATTTCTCTTTTGGTACATGCAGTTAAAAGTGTTTTTAGTGACTGTATGTAACCCATTATGACTGCCTGTGTATCAGTATGTGACAGGCATTTTACTGGTATGTGTATATTATTTGAACTTCCTGCATTGGCAAAGTACTTTGATTTGTATATTAATAAATTATATTATATACACCATGTCTTTGTATCCATTGATGTTCATACTTCCACAACCAGGGTGCTTAACCCATTAAGTGGCAGAGCTTCCCCATTGACGAGTAAAATTGTCTGGCGTTAGACAAGTAAAAGAATAGATGGGGCGCATTGCGGTTCAATGAGTTAACACATAAAAGAACACACAGAGAAGAAAACCCATATGAATGTGTTGTTTGCATGTGCAGGAAATGTTCACATGTGATCGATTCAAAAAGACTAAAATAATACACACTGGATAAAAAAGTTTATGAATTTGTTATTCCATGGTCTAATGTTTAGTACACTACTGAACATAAGGAACAATACTGGGAACAATATTTGCCAATAGTCCTGGTAAAAATATTTATTAGACCTGACAATTTAATTGAGAACACTATTTGCAATCAAATAATAATACATTTTTAATTAGATCAACCCTCACTTGCACTTGGCAATTACTGACAGGGTTAATATTACAGTCATAGTCAATCTTAATACACATATAGTTCAGTATAGTAGGCAGGAATAATCCAATGTCAGTGACACATTATTTCACAATATTCTGCCATTAGTAAATAAACTTTGCCTTGCAAGAGCTAGAAGAAAATGGTAAAGGTTTAGAGATTAAAAATCTTGCATCACTATAGCTGATAAACCCAATATTGTTACAGTACGGTGACTGTCCTTAAGGGTAAATTTATATATCTGACTGATATAAGACCGAAATAACAAAGTAGCGCGATTACTACGGGTATAGCCTGTAAACACGACTGTCTTTGGGGCACATCACATATCTACTCAGTATCGCATATACAAAACAAGGAAATGACTGATGGTGACACTGGGAACCACTGCGGATTACTGAGTTAACACAAAAGGTGGACCAACAATCCATGGATGTATTGTGGCTGTATCATTGGTATATAAAAACATAACCCTCACAGAGTAAAATAATAAAGTAGGGCGCATCAGGGCGCAGTGAGACTCAATGGGTTAACTAGACACATAGACATATAAGCCTGTCAACCATTAAGTGCCAGCCCTCTCTTTTGACAAGTTAACTTGTCTGTCGTTAGATAGAGACTGACAGAGTAAAATAATAACATAGGGTGCATCAGGGTGCAATGTGACTCAGTGCACTATAACTACAGTAGACACAAAGACATATAGGGTAGTTAATCATTAAGTCGTTTAAGCACCAGTGCTCTCCCCTTGACAAGTAAAATGGTCTGCCGTTAGACAGAGTAAAATAATAAAGTAGGGCGCATCAGGGCGCAGTGCAACTCAATGGGTTAACTAGACACACAGACATATAAGCTTGTCAACCATTAAGCGCCAGCCCTCTCTGTTGACAAGTTAACTTGTCTGCCGTTAGATAGAGACTGACAGAGTAAAATAATAACATAGGGTGCATCAGGGTGCAATGTGACTCAATGCACTAACTAGACATAAAGACATATAGGGTAGTTAATCATTAAGCCGTTTAAGCACCAGTGCTCTCCTCTTGACAAGTAAAATCGTCTGCAGGTAGACAGAGTAAATAATAAAGTAGGGCGCATCGGGGCGCAATGCGACTCAATAGGTTAACTAGACACATAAACATATAAGCTAGTTAACTATTAAGCGCCAGCATTCTCCGTTGACAAGTTAACTTGTCTGCTGGTAGATAGAGACTGACAGAGTAAAATAATAACATAGGGTGTAATGTAACTCAATGCACTAACTAGACACATAGACATATAGGCTAGTTAACCAATTAAGCTGCGCCAGCACTCTCCCCTTGACAAGTAAAATCGTCTGGCGTTAGACAAAGTAAAATAATAAAGTAGGGCCCATCAGGCCGGCGAGGGCGCAATGCGACTCAATGAGTTCATAGATTGCTGAAACTATAAATCAAGTCTGTGTACAAATACAACACCTAGGCCATGCTGCCAGCTGTGCATGTGGTTTACCTGAATTTGCAAGCAATTATAGGTTTGTTTCAATATTCAAAAGATTTTTCTAACTTCAAAGTTAAAAAAACTTCACATTTATATAGTAACAGAGTTTACATTGTCAGAATTGCATGTTATGTGCTGAAATGTAACACTGAGCCAGTTCCCTCAAAGATTACTTACAAATCCCTCAAAACGTAGAATTTACCTATGGAACATCGCATATTGTCTAGTCAATCCACAGGCGGCCCAATCTCGCAAGAGTCAGTATAGACTTATAGTATAAATGTATATTATATTAATGTATATTATAGTAAAAATATGTCGTAAAATATAAATTTTAAAATGAAATTGACTTGCCTATTTGATAGTGTGTGTTCTCCTTTTATTCCTCTTTTGTTGGACTAATATTTTCCGAGACTTTGTACTAGATGTTACTAGTATACATGAAACATGATAAAGGCTAACTATTCCCGATCGTCGATCCGACGGCACGGCACTTCGAATCGAAAATTTTCACACTCAAATCGCTTTATTCTCCAAAACAATTCGCCAGCATGTACAACAAATGCCGTTCTTCGAAAATACGGAGGTACTTTGGCGAGATGTACAAGTTTTGGACCATATTTTAACAATGGAAATCAAAACCCATTTTATATTGAACTTGCCCTGGCCGAAAATTACTATGGCGAACGTCTGCGCAACCAGGCCTTCTTTACCGTTGGATTTGCAGGGGGGAGGATGCCACGAATATATTCACGATAATATTTCGAATTAAAGTATCATATTCTACCATGCTTTCCAACAAAGAGCCGCTGTATATTACTTGTTCCTTAAATTTCTTCAATCTCCGTCGTTTAGTTTTCTTTTCTTCGACAACATCTCGAATTTTATACAGTATCCGATCGAAGGAGTTTTTATTTTGAATATCAAATAATGCAAACAGTCGCTATCGCGGCCGCGATTGGCTGGGTGTTACCGGAAATATCTGCTTCCCCCCCTGTAAATCCAACGGTAAAGAAGGCCTGGTTGCGCAGACGTTCGCCGTAGTAATTTTCGGCCTGGGCAAGTTCAATATAAAATGGGTTTTGATTTCCATTGTTAAAATATGGTCCAAAACTTATACATCTCGCCGAAGTACCTCCGTATTTTCGAAGAACGACATTTGTTGTACATGCGAATTGTTTTGGAGAATAAAGCGATTTGAGTGTGAAAATTTTCGATTCGAAATGCCGTGCCGTAGGATCGACGATCGGGAATAGTTAGCCTTTATCATGTTTGATGTATACTAGTAACATCGAGTACAAAGTCTCGGAAAATATTAGTCCAACAAAGGAAGAATAAAAGGAGAACACACACTATTAAATAAGCAAGTCAATTTCATTTTAAAATTTATATTTTACGACATATTTTTACTATAATATACATTAATATAATATACATTTATACGATAAGTCTATACTGACCCTTGCGAGATTGGGCTGCCTGTGGTCAATCTACTTATAATAAATCTGTGTGACAACTGTCAATGTGAAAATATAATATAGAACACATTATTGTTCGTAATTTTAAACATATTTCGCTTGTTTTAAACCCTCCAAATTCGAAAATATAGGGTTAATTAAAGGGTTTGTAGCCATAGGCCGCTATAGGTATTATAGTTCTTGAGCGCTCAAGAATGTATACAATATACAAGTCAACAAGTACACACGCCTGCCTTTCAAAACACATCAATATATTATCCCTTGTTTCGTACAAATAATACAATAAACAAATGCCAAACATACCTTTTCGTCTAATCTCCTCAATTTCTGTGTCTTGGTCGATAATTCCATCTTTCTTTTGACCGCAACCTCAGACGCTAAACGTTATATTATTAGCGTTGACATCGAAACGCTGTATTTGGTGGCCTTATTCAAATGCATTTTTACTGCGATCAAAGACGAAATCGAATAAAGTGCTTCGTTAGGAATTTAGATAAAGGCTATAAATTTAGTCCTACCAAATATTATAAAAGGATGGCCTTAAAAACAAAAGTTATTCGAAGCCGAAATTCATCAATTGTAACATTTTGGATTCGATGCGCCATTGTTTGCGAAATTGCTCTCAAAGAATGCTCGCAAGCGGCAAAACAATAAAGGTAGTCATGGCAATTTGGGGTAAACACAAGGACAAATTGGGGTAAACATAAAGTCACTTATCATGTAGACTTGCCACAAGTCGACCATGGGGAGGAAGGGCGCGGGGGAGAGAAGGCGCGACCCGAGCGACGAAGCGCGCCATAGAAGGGTCTGGAAAGGACTTTGGAAAGTCTACTTATCATGCCGTGTATGACCATAACAACCTTGAGTCGGATTGTCAAAATGCCCAGACAATATCTCAATTTAAATCCAAAGTTTTTGACTGTCGGCCATGATGTACTATTGTTCTTCTCGACTTTTAAACTTTTAAACTTTTACCAGTTCAGCAAGTATACTATTGTAATGATAGATAATTTATGATATTTTTAACTTTTGACCACATGTAAATAGATTAGATATAATATTCTTCACTTTGTATAATACTAGTTCTATAGTACAGGTCCATTCTGAAAATCACTTCTGTGAGAATGCCTCCTGAATAAAGATTGTTATCATCAACTTTGGTACCATTCTGATCCCCTAATATCACGCTATTCATTCCCCAAGTACATATTTCTCTAAGGATACCCTTCATGTCACCGCAGCTATCTAAAAATAGCGCACATTTCCAAAATTAATTTCGTCTCCAGACTCCAAAAAAATACGCGCGCCATCCGCAAAATTTCGAACATTTCTTGTGGCCGAATTTGAAACATTTTATGCCAAGCGTGAATCTTTCTGATCTTGAAGAAATTATGAACACCGAGCTGAGTAGTTTAAACACCTGGCTCAATGCGAACAGATTATGCTTAAATATTACTAAAACTGAATTCATGGTCATTGGCTCTCGACAGAGGCTGATGTACCATCATATTACTCCATTAATGAAACAATTACATTGGCTCTCCATCAGTCAACGCATCATCTATAAAATTGTTCTTATTACGTATAAATCTCTGAATGGCTCAGCTCCACATTACATTAATAATATGCTAAAACCTTTCGCACCATCAGCAAATTTACGCTCCTCGTCCAAAGGATTGCTTACCATACCCTCAGTAAAACTAGTGAACTATGGTGAACGATCGTTCTCATATGCTGCACCGAAACTGTGGAACGAACTGCCAGAGTGTATTAGAAAGAGTGAGACCTTGCCTATTTTTAAAACCAGATTAAAGACACATCTTTTTAAACAGTATTATGACTAAGTTATTATTTTAACAAGATTATTAGCAATTTTATAGTATTCGATATAAGTACTCTTAATAACGAGAAGAGCATATAATTATTTTTTAGTAATTTTATAGTATAGTAATTTTAGTAGTCAGTGCATGTACTATGTTCTAACACTTAGTATATATTTTTAACACTTAATGTTAAGCGCTATTGAGCTATGGAAAATGGCGCTATATAAATGAATAATAATAATAATAATAATAATAATAATAATAATAATAATGTTAACAATCTTAATATATGCGTAGATAACACTCAAATTAAAAGAGTACAGTACACGAAATCCTTAGGTGTAACAATTGATGAAAATTTAACTTGGAAGAACCATATTGATACTATCTGTAAAAAAGTATCCTCAGGAATTGGTGCCCTCGAACGAGTGAGGCGATTTGTAAACAGGGAAATTGCAGTGAAAGCGTACAAAGGCTTAATTGAGCCTTACCTTAATTACTGCTGCCCGGTTTGGGACGGTATTGGCAGCGAGCTGAACAGTAAGTTACAAAAGTTACAAAACCGTGCTGCTCGCATGATCACCGAAAGCACATATGAAAACTCCTCGAATTCTTTACTGCAGGAGTTAAACTGGCACCAGTTATCTCTTAATCGCAAAAAGCATAAAGCAATTCTTATGTATAACACTATAAACAAGAAGGTACCAGAATATCTACAAGACATATTTATTTCGCGGTCTTGTCCTTACAGATTGAGAAACAATGAAAATACATTATTTGTCCCTAAGCCACATACAGATTATCTAAAGCGCTCACTCAGCTACGATGGAGCTGTTTTATGGAATAGTTTACCAACTGAACTTCGTTCGGCGCAATCTCTTAGCGCTTTTAAACGAAGTCTAGAATGTTGGTTGACTTGGTTAGCTTAGATTCACACACGGCAATCATGTAAATCAGTACTGTTCTGTCTTTTGTAAATAGCATTTGTATTTTTTTTCCCTTTTCCTCCTTTTTCTATACTTTATATATATATCTATATATATATATATATATATATATATATATATATATATATATATATATATATATATATATATATATATATATATATATCTATATTATGTAAATTTTTACTGATGATTCTACCGTGTCAAAATAAAGTTTATAGTAATAATAATAATAATAATAACATATTTTCATCGCTCGAGTGAAATGTTTGCCCTGATATTTTCTTTCAAAGAGTGTTCAGTAACAAACAATACAAGCTATTACATGTGATATATAACTTATTAAATAATATTTGAAATTTTAATTAACAAAAAATAATTACTTAGCATGTAAATCCTTTGTTTTCTTGTTTGCTTGTTTACATTTTTTTTGTTGCCATCTTGTACACGATTTTCTAATTTTTTTAGAGAAAGCGCGCTCGCGCCAATCCTAATGTGCGTCACACGTAGCACGGTAATTTATTAGCGCGTTTCCCCGCACGTGTTTTATAGCGCCCTGGTTGCACGAACAAAAACACCAAGTTAACTTCCAAGAAAGTGCAGAGTAGGGTAAATCCAAAATCCACAAAAAAGCGCGGTGAAATTCGTTAACGAATGAAGAAATTGTTTGAGACTGAAATAGTTCCTCAATGAATGGCCGCCATCTTGAAAACTGATCTGTATAATAAACTGGAACGACTGCAACTCTGGAAACTAAGCCTGCGATGCGTTAGCGCAAACTAGATTTCTCGACGAGGAAAAAAACAGAAAATTAGGAATATAAGACACTTATAGCATATAATGTATAAGCCATATAAATCTTGATCTTTATATTCAAACGAAGCAAGTGTATACCAACTGGCCTCAATTTGCGAATTTACCTCTGTTGAGAAACAAATGAAATCGTGCCAATCGCGGATAATCCTTAACTGCTTCTCGTCTCACCTTCGTCGACGCGCACTTCGTGAATCATTCTAATTAACTCTCAAAGCACTCCATGGTCTCGGTCGCACCATGAAAATATCTGAAAAACAAGTCTTTGGCGTTCAATCTAAATCTATTACTCCTGATAAAACTGAACTTTTAATCTATACTGGTAATGTCTCAACATTTTCAACCTCGTCAATCGCCTTCTGCTCCTTTTCCACATTTTTGAGTGTTTCCAAGCCCATCCTCTACGTGTGGACAACGCGGCATTGCCTATTCCCATCCACAAGGCCAAGCCAGCTGTCGTGCACGCGGTTTCCATGTCCTTCGTGCAGAATAATGAACCATTTTTCGCGCTTTTGTCGAACTAAACCTATCCACCGTTTGCTGAAAGTAGCTCCCCCGTCCACAATCTCGTTTTCAACCACATCCTAATTACTCTTTTCCACGTAACCGCCTCCACGCGAGATTCGCCACGTTACCGACACACAATTAACCCTGGCTCTGATGATGAATATCTTTTCACAGTAGTCATTTCCCAAGTCAGTGATTTAAGCACCCCGAATGCCAAAGTTATGATTGCAAATGTACCACTTCAAGTGCTGAATAATCCCCGCGCCAGCATTAATGTTATTGACGAAAATGCTTATCACGCCATCACGAAATCTCCCCAGAATAATCAGCTTTAATTGCGTCCTACTTCCACGAAAATCGGAAGTTATGGCGGTACTTCAGCTTTACTTGTTCTTGGAACATTCTGTACTCGCGTTGAATCGAAAACACGCACTATCTACGTTATTAAGGGCGAAAATGGTTCCCTTTTAAGCTACAAAACTGCAACTGAATTAGACCTACTCTCTGTCATCTCTCAAACCAATGCATCTGTCAACACCACCACACCGCTTTCCACACATAGCAGCACACAATTACGTTCTGAATATTAAGACCTTTTTGACGGTACTGGCATGATGAAGGACTTTCAAGTTCATCTACATATCGATCCCTCCGTACCCGCTCGATAACGAACTTGACAAATTTGAACACCAGGGTATTATTGAACTGGTTGATGACCCAATTCGTTGGGTGTCGCCTCTCCTTGTCACACCAAAACCAAAGAACCCTGATGAGATTCGCCTTTGTATCGATATGCGCCAACCCAATTGTGCGATCTTTCGTGAATGTCATATAACACCTGTAGTGTTTATATAATAGTTTAATCACGTGTATAAGATGATAGAACCCGGATGACCACGAGGGACGGGACCTTGTTCAGTTTGTAAGCAACCACTTAGGTAAGCAATAAGAAAGCTAAAGACAAAACACCACACTGACGACGAGGATGGGATCTAAGTCCCCACAATCGATTTTCGCAATTAAACATAAACAATTGTTGAATAAAATCAAGGAAAAACGAGAAACATGGCAGTAGCTTTACCGCATTTTGCTGAATTTGATGTTCATTCGGACGGTGCAATCGGCATTCGTTGGAAGAAATGGCTCAATCGATTTGAAAATCTCCTTCTGGCATTAGACGTAGACGACACTAAAAGCCAAAGAGCTCTTTTACTGCATCATGCTGGAGAAAGCGTGAACGAAATTTTCGAAACATTGCCCAACACAGAGGCTGGAGAGGACGAAGAGCCGTTCGAAAAAGCAGCGACGGCGTTAACAAGCTATTTTACACCCAAGAAAAATCGAGTATACGAAGTATACGTCTTTCGTAAGACCAAGCAAGAAAATGGCGAAAACATTTCTGCATTTCACAGACGTCTGCGACAACTAGCGATGAATTGTGAGTTTGCTGACACCGACAGAGAAATTAAAACCCAAATTGTGCAAAACTGCCTATCGCACAAACTTCGTATGAAAGCGTTACAAAATCCGGAACTTACCTTAACTCAGCTACTGGACGCCGGTAAAGCCATGGAAATGTCCAAATCTCAAGCAGAAACCATTGAAGAGAAACAAAACGTCAACAAACTGTCGAGGAAATACACGCGAACGCAGAGCGCCCACGATCAAAGTCTGGAAGCGGTCTTCCAGAGGCTCAAAGAACGCGGTCTAACATTGAACAAGCACAAGTGTGAGTATGGCAAAGACAAGCTCGAGTTCTATGGTTATGTCTTCCCGGGAGATAGTATTGCACCAGACCCTAAGAAAATTGACGACATCGTCAACCTACAGACACCAACATTTGCATCCGAAGTCCGAAGCCTATTGGGAATGACCAATTATTGTTCCAGATTTATCCCGGACTATGCAACCAAGACCGAACTATTACGCAAGCTGACCCACAAGGATCAACCTTGGGAGTGGACATCGCAGCACGACAGCGCGGTTGACCAACTGAAAGAAGCCTTGGTGAATGCACCGGTTACGGCGTACTTTGATCCAACCAAAAATACTGAGATCTCGGTCGACGCCAGTCCTGTTGGACAGCTGCCATTCTCTCACAAGTGGACAGAAAGACCGGTACCCACCACATCGTCACCTATGCCAGTCGTTCCTTGTCTGAGACAGAGCAGCGTTACAGGCAAGCAGAACGCGAGGCCCTTGCCGTCGTCTGGGCCTGCAAACATCTTCATCTGTACATATACGGAAAGCCTGTGACAATCTATAACGATCACAAGCCTCTAGTGTCCATCTATGGCAACCCAAGTTCTAAACCTCCTGCAAGAATACAGAAATGGGCTCTCCGACTTCAGCCTTACCAACTGACAGTCCGTTACCGAAAAGGAGAAGGAAACCCCGCAGATTACTTGTTACTCCACCCCTCCAAACAACCAACCACGGCTAGCCGAGAACAGAAGATCGCAGAAGAGTACGTTAATTACATCACCTCAACCCCAAAAGCACTAACGGATCAGGAAATTGAAGAAGCTACCAAAGCTGATTCGACCTTGTAAGCAGTATCCAAGGCAATCGAGACAGGTAATTGGCAAGAAGGACCTAAGCAATCGGATGTGGACAGCGTACCTTATACCGCATGGCAGAAGGTAAAAGAGGAGTTGTCAGTAGGTGTGACAATCCAGATAATTCTTCGAGGAACAAGTATAGCTGTTCCCAGAAAACTGCAAGAGCGCGTAGTAAACTTAGCACACGAGGGACACCAAGGAGTTGTGAAGACAAAGTCACTTCTGCGTGAAAAGGTATGGTTCCCTGGCATCGACAAGTTGGTAGAAAAGAAAGTGGAGTCATGTTGTGCGTGTTTGATCTCAACTCCAGAGTCTAAACGTGAACCTCTCAAAATGTCTCCACTACCGAAAGCCCCATGGTCAGAAGTTAGCATGGATTTCGCGGAGCTTCCAAACAGCGAGTATCTCCTGATAATTACAGATGACTATTCAAGATATCCGGTCGTCGAAACGGTCAAGGCTACTTCTGCCAACACGGTGATTCCGAGGGTAGACAAAGTGTTCTCTGAATTTGGAATACCTGACGTAGTAAAGACAGACAACGGACCCCCTTTTAACAACCGCGAATTACAGTCGTTTGCGCAGACTCTCGATTTCAAGCATCGAAAGATCATTCCTCGATGGCCAAGAGCAAATGGCGAGGTCGAGCGATTCGCGAGACGATAAAGAAGGTGGTCAAGACGGCGACAGTACAGCACAAGAACTGGAAAGAAGATATGCATCGTTTCCTCAGAAACGTCAGAGCAACTCCTCACACAACGACAAAAGTTCCCCAGCAACCGCATTGTTTGGTCGGGCACTAAAAACAAAGTTACCTGAGTTGAAAAAGACTTTGCATGACCCAGCAGTTGAGGGAAATGATCGCAAGGCGAAGTCGAGGATGAAGAGATATGCTGATTCCAAAACCTATGTTCAACCCTCAACAATCCAGGAAGGCGATACAGTGTTCGTCAAGCGTTACGATTCCAAGCAGAGAAAGAGAGATACACCCTACCGACCTGATTCATATGTCGTTGTACAGAAGAAAGGATCCATGGTGACAGCAAGAAATAACAACGCAACGATCACCAGAAATTCTTCGTGTTTTAAGAAAGCGCCCAGCGACAATGGCGGTGATGAAGAAGCGAGTGACGGAGAAGACGCCGGTCAACAAGAGTATAAACCCGATGCAGCGGCAGTCGAAGCCCCTGAATCTCGCTATCCCAGAAGAGTGAGAAAGCGTCCTACCAGATATGGAGAACAATTTCATTGATGATGCGGAGAACGCTAATTTAGGTTTTTATATAAGACTTTATTTAGTTTTGTTGACATTATTCTTACATATGTTTTTCCCACTTAAGTGACGAAGTAAGGTTAGTTTATGGAACTGTGTATAATTTTAGTTCGGAACGTTTAATGTTTATATGTCTTTTCTTTTAAAGTTGGGAGGGATGTAGTGTTTATATAATAGTTTAATTACGTGTGTAAGATAATAGAACCCGGATGACCACGAGGGACGGGACCTTGTTCAGTTTGTAAGCAACGACTTAAGTAAGCAATAAAAAGCTAAAGACAAAACACCACAACACCGACAATAGATGACCTAATTCATGATCTAAACGGTGCCACCGTCTTCTCTAAAATTGATTTGAACTCGGGTTACCATCTCCTCGAACTCGCACACGAAAGTCGTTCTCTCACAACGTTTTCCATGCAAAGAGTACTTCGCCGCTCCTAGTCTTTCAAGATGCCATCTAACAAGTCCTCAGTGGCATCGAAGGCGGTTGTAATGTTAGCGATAACAGACCCCAAGAAAGTCTCTACCATCAACAATACCAGTTCCCTACAACCGCTCATGAAGTTCGCAGTCAATGGCGTAACCGAAGGGTGTTTGTGTCCCCGACAAAAATGACCATAAAATTTTTGTTAGTACATTGGGCAAATTGGTCCGAGCTTCAGTTATAGAGGGCCACCTCCAAAAGCAGGAATTGGTAAAATTGTGAAATATAGACCTCTTTTTTTAGTTGAGATGGATGGGAAAAATATTTGCGGATTCCTTTTACATGTCATAGTCCGGAAAGAAAATTTTAACCTTTTTTTTAAGAAATATGTTTCGAAAATTTTTTTGTTCCCCTCCTGCCCCCCTCGCCAATTTTTTACCGGGGGAAAATTATGGCCCCACTTAAAAATTTTTCGGGTTACGGGGTGCCTCATGAGGTTCCGTTACGCCACTGTTCGCAGTTTCCTCGGTATGACCAACTACTGATCCAGATTTATCTCCAATTATTCCACCATCACCAAACCCCTCTGTAGGCTAACTAAATCCGACAGCCCTGGACATGGACACCTCAGCATTGACACGGTTTTGATCAGCTGATGCATCTTCTCACCAGAGACACTGTTCTCCCGTACTTCAACCTCCACAAAGAAGCTGCCACCATAATTGTCGATGCCAGCCTTGTTGGTCTTGGTGTGATTCCTTGCCAAGACAACCATGTTGTTGCCTATGCAAGTCGTTCTCTTACTCCCGTAGAACAACAGGTATTCCCAAAAAAAACGAGAAACCATAGGCGTACTGTTTGCTTGTAAACATTTTCAGCTTTACATCTACGGCGCAAAATTCAACAACATCACAGATCACAAACTTCTTGAAAGCATTTTTACCATTCCCACTGCCCGTTCCAATTATGCCGGTTTAGAACTCTGGGCTCTCAAGCTTCAACCATATCACTTCACCTTTTCCTACTCTTCTTGAAAAACCAACCCCGCTGATTATCTTTCACGTCAACAGGTGGGAAAATTGACTGAGCATGCGCGAAACTGCTCGGGTTTTAGCGAGAGAAGAAGATATGCGTGCTTCCACTTGGTTGATTTAAAAAACATAAACAACATGAACGAAGCCTTCGAAAGACAATATTACAGCAGCTGTTTGGGCCCACAAATCAACACAAAAATTGGATTCACTGACAAAAAATGTTGCAGTATTACTTTAATTTTTTCTATTGCCAAATATTTTACAATGTAAACCACTAATATCGATTATTTTAGTGCAAAACAAAACAGAGCAAAAAGTTCCTTTTAAAATCTCTGATAGCTTCAATAAATTGTGATATTAAAACCAAAAATATTAATACTTCTATTTTTTACAAAGCCAAGAAATTTAATACCGACTTAAAAATCTTTGAAATTTAATATATTGAAAATTTAATATATATTAATATTGAATTGATTTGAAAAAAGGTCGCGGCAGGTATAGGAATGATGAAGCGCATTAAACCTTTCGTCCCTGCCAACACCTTACAAACAATTTACCAAGCGTTAATACAGCCCTATTTTGATTACTGTTCTCCCATATGGGGAGTTTGCAGCAAACAACTCAAAGATAAACTTCAGAGATTCCAAAATCGGGCTGCAAGAATTATAAGCGGTGCAAGTTTCGAAACGCGATCTGCTGATGTTCTTCGTTCCCTTGCCTGGGACGATCTAGAGACAAGACGGTGTACAACTAAATCTATATTGTTCTACAAAGTCTTGAATGGCTACATCGGCCCTAACCTTAAGCAGTCTCTAATATTGAGAAACACTCGCCAAACTAACTACGATCTTAGAAATAGTCTAACAGATTTAACCAAAAAGAGAGTACCTTAATTAAAAAGAATTTCAATTATAGTGGAGCTAACTTGTGGAATAGCCTTCCGTTTGATGCAAAGGTAGGGGAATTTGTTGGCCAATTTAATTAAGAATGTTATTAGAGGTAATGATAGCTAAATGATATCTGTGGTCACACCAGTAACACCAGTAACATTTACAATGTAAATATTTCTTTTTCGTAAATAGTTAATATTTGACGCCACCCGTGGAAATCAGCTAATTGCTGTCGGAACCAGCGTCATTAAATAAAGTTTTACCATACCATACCATACCATACCATACCATACCATACCATACCATACCATACCATACCATACCATACCATACCAACAGCGTATTTCGTTGGCACAACTTGTACATGACAAAATTGGTGTTTATAAAATTTTGAACGAACGAAAATTGTGTTTAAAAATAATACAAAGTTTACGCTCCGACATGAGGGTCATAGAAAAATCTGATTGCTATGTGTATCTGTTTTTTAAATACTTTGAAAACCTAAAAATAATATATTTTAAAACTATTATAGCACAATACGTGGCAAAATGATTATTCCGATGCTCGTTTTCTGAGTCGCTTTTTTCGTATAAATCAAATTGCACATGAAATTTGCCAAAATTCAGTACTTTCTTCATTTTTTAGGCGAGTTTATATTGTATCAGCGAAAACTAGAAAGAAATGCATATGTTTTGACCTAATTATATTTCATTGGCACAAACTGTATATATGAGAAATTTAAGGTGAAAACAAGCAATTTTAGCAAAATACCTCACATACTGAAATTCGACGATGATCGTTGACGCACAGTATCACTCAAAAACCAAATATTTATACTTTGTCCTGGACAAAAAACGCATGTACTGCAAATTTCAAGTAATATTCCATTAATATTAAGTTCCTGCTCGAGGTTATTTTGCATCAGAAACACACATTTTACAAGAAACGTCATTTTCGGCCACGTTTCAGCGAAGAATTCTTGGCTGCTAATTTGCCGATTGCGACAAGTAATATCATGATTGCGGGTATTACCTTTGTTCTCGCAGGGCAATTAATAAATAATACACCTCATTATATTCATTTATTCTAATCCTACCCGCTTTTACGTCATGTCAAGTAGAATTAGTTGTAATCCTACCCGAAACGACGTCAAAGCGGGTACGATTAGAAAAAAATTAATATATCTGAAATCGCCAAAACTAAACAAAGACATGGAAAATAATTATACCATTTAATTTATACCATTATGTATTGCTAATTGGTTTTTAATGACCCTGCGAGAACAACGGGAATACCCGCAATCATGATATTACAAGGTGATTTAATAGCTAATTCGCCTCTTTCTCTGCTATTACTTATAATAATTG